CTTGATTAAAAAATGGGCAAAGGGCCTGAATGGACATTTCTCCAAAGAAAATATACAAATGGCCAATAAGCACAAAAAGAATGTTCAGCATCACTAGTCATTAAGGAAATATAAAATAAAACCACAATGAGATATCCATTAGAATTGCTACACCAAAGAAACAGAAAATAACAAGTGTTAGGAAAGATGTGGAGAAAATGGAACCTTTGTGTTCTGCTGGTGGGAAGATAAAATGGTACAACTGCTGCAGTACAACTAAACGGTCTAACTGCTGCTATGGTGGTTCCTCAAAAAAATTAAAAATAGAATTACTATATGATCTAGTAGTCCACTTCTGGGTATATACCCAACAGAATGCAAAGCAGGAATTTGAACAAATATCTGTATACACAAGTTAATAGTGTTACAATAGCCAAAAGGTAGAAGCAACTCAAGTATTCAAAGATAGATGAATGGATACACAAAATGTATCCATCAGGAATGAAATTCTGATACATACTGCAACACAGATGAACCTTGAAGACATTATATTAAAGAAATAAGCTAGACAGAAAAAGATAAATATTGTATAATTCTACTTAGAAGAGGCAGTCAAATCATAGACAAAGTGGAATGCTGGTCGCCAGGGGTGAGGGACGGGGAATGGGGAGTTAGTGTTTAATGGGTACACAGTTTCAGTTGGATATGATGAAAAAGTTATGTAAATGGATAGAGGTGATGGTTGTACAGCAATGTGAATGTACTTAATGCTGCAGAACAGCATACTGAAAAATGGTTAAAATGGTAAATTTTATGTTATGTATATTTTACCACAATAAAAAAAGACAAATTAGGTTTCAGAGGGTTCTTCCTAAATGAAATCAATTGCATTCTTAAAGAAATAGATACATTTGTTTTTAAGATAAAATTAGAAAATGCCAACTTTAAAAGAAAATAAAGAGAAAGTTTATTGAGCTACAACTGTATACAAAAAGTAATCAGCTGTAATGGTTTTGTCTCTTCCTACAATAGTGAAGAAAATAGTACTAAACTGGTTTACACATATCCTATTAGAGATAAACTTAAAGAGAAGACATCCTGAAGCCAAACCATAAATAGGAGCAGGTCTATAAATCAATACTTTAAATACTTCTCAGATACTTTAAAAAAAAAAAAATCATTTCTGCATGCATTAATCAAAGTCAGTGTTTCTCAACTGGGGAGGTTATTCTGACACTCCGGTTCCCCAGATTTTTGGTTATCACATAACAGGTTAGGGGAATGTGCTCCTGGCACATACTAGGTAGAGGCCAAGGATGCTGCTATACATCCTACAAAGCACAGACCAGCCTCCATAACAAAGAATTATCTGGTCCAAAATGTCAGTAGTGGAGAGGTTGAGAAACCCTGGTCTGAGGGAAAACTCTGAACAAAAAGGCCCTTTCGAACATCTGTCAGTAATATACATGCCTTTAATTTTACATATGCCTTACAAAGACAAATGAAAAAGTATCTACTTCATTAAGAAATGTCAGAATAATAACTGTCAGTAATGATTTTAAATAGAATATTACGTACTGATCTATTACTCTGCATTTTCAAATTCTATCAAGAACAATATATAATCCATGTTCTCTCACCGATCTCATGAAAAAAATTATACAAGGGTATAACTAAATCTTATAAATATTTGTGGACAAGATGAGTCAAAGGATTCATGTTTACTTTATTATCTCTAGTTTGGTTGAATATGGCTTCAAAAGTTGATGCTTGTGTATAGAACTTAAGCTTAAACTATTCAGATATTAATGAGCTCTCTCCCTCGATACCATTATTTCTAAGAGTCAGTGAGTTTTATAAGCTAACTGTATTTTCATTTCACTACTCTCATTACAAGCACCCAAAATGCAACTTTGTATTAGTGGATAGTTTTTAAGACATATATCAAATAACTGGGGAATGTGCATTTATTGTTCTGAATGTACTTCTAGATATCAATTGTGGGAAATGTGATTTGGATGAATGACGTTTATCATAATTTACTTCCCACAGAATTCCACAAATTGTCTTGACATAAAAAGAATTAATGATTAATGGAAAGAGTCTATTTTATTCCATTACTACTCCCATCTTTCTTTGTTCTGAGAGCCATTCAATTATACAAAATGTAGCCAAAAGTTATAACCAAGGGTAACAATTAACATTAGATTGCAAAATGCAGCTAGAGGTCAATTTTGTTTTGTACATATCTGCTAGATAAGAAATTAAACTTTATCTCTATGCCTTTAATATATATATATGTAGTCTGAAACCTCTACCATGCCAAAGTTTTGGCAAAAGCTAGATACAGCAGTTAAAAAAAAAAAGAGTCCTTAAAGAGCCACATTTTGAATGTTTTGCTAACTAGATAAGCACTGAAAAAGAAATAAAGATTAAAAGTTTATTGCCATGGAAGAATATAAAGAATTTTTATCTTTCTCTGAGCTCTGTCTGTAAAATGTACTTTTGTGTGACTTTCAGCTGGTTAACTATAATAAATTATCTTGAGAAAAAAATAATAAAGGTGGCTGCTTATGCATGTAGGTTTCACAAACTCTATATCGGTTCTTAGTGAAACAACATTTCAGTATATTTTAAAATAGTAATTTTAATATGTATTCCATAAAAAAATAGTTCTGTAACATTCTCTGACATAATACCTATAAGAAATATATTTAAGACTAAAATATTCTAAGGGCTTTATTACTTCTTGAGCCCTTTTTTTTAACCATGGGACAGGATTTTTTAATTTAGAAAATCATGAATGGGCAGGATTCTCAAGGGTTTTGCCAACTCTAATTGGCTGTAGCAGGGTTCTTAAACACAGAGTGACTGCCTGTATCTCAAAAAATGATTGAGCTGGCAGGGAAAAAATGCCACCTTACATCTGGAGAATGATATACAATTTGCGAAACCATTTCATATAAATTATATAATATACCAGGTAAGGAGAATATCAAACCATTAATTAAGTAGAACAGGTATTTATTTTGCAGATGAGGAACCTGAAGCTCAAGAATTTTTCCAAGGGCATATAGCTAGCTAATAAAAGAAACAACCAGAAATAGAAGACCAAATTATGTATTTTTTTAACCTAATCATGTCATTTCCCTACTTACATATGGGGACATACACCATATATACACCAACTGTGAAAAATGTTCAAAGTAATAAAAGGAGCCGTTCCAATTATAACTTAATTTTAGGTTAGTTCTACTTATGAATGAAAAGAATTGCCATTTTATCAGAATCATAACTGCTTTGACAACATCTTAGAAAGGCCAATCGTGTGTGAGTGCACATTCACACGAATCTGCTTAAATCACATAGCAACATGTTTGAGAGGCAACATGGTGCACAGATCTTTTTAATTTTTACTTTGAATGCCAAGAGAAATTGCATATGTTACAGCCAGCAACGGTATTTCTGTTTCTCAAATGCAGAAATGCTCCTGGTGCCTTCGACAACAAATTTTTTAATATAGTAATCAGGTTCTCCACAATCATTTTCAGAACTATCCATTTAGATATTCTACATACCAGCTCTCTGAGACCACTGACTTCTCACCTCTTCTGCCTTTGCTTACACGATATCCCTCATCCTGTATCTTACTTTCTATCTTCTATCAACTGAATTCCTACTCACTGATCAAGGCTGGACTAAAATGCCACCATCTTCCTAATAAATTACTCCTTTTGCCAAGATTCTTTGTAAAAGTCCTTTATAACCTGACCATAGCCCTTACTTTATCCTACATTATATTAGCAGTAGTGGTTTGGGATCCCTGGACTTTTACCTCTTGAGTGTATGAATTGCCTGAAACTTAACAAACTAAAATCTTTCACCCCCAGCATCACCTAGCAAAGTAGAGGACTAAAAAAAATCTGCTTTCCAGCCAGGAATGGCCCATTGAAGCCCCCTTGCCTGCCTTTACGGTGCTCTCTGGACATTGTGCAAGCTCTCTACTCTGATACAGATTTTCCTGCCCATGGTTCTGCCCTGCACTTTTATCAGTGTGCTCAGCATCAACCCTTCTTCCTGACCTGGACTGCTGGAATCAGTCCTACTCCTCTTGGGCAGCATTCCTGGCTTAAACATCAAGTCCTTTCAGTAGGCTTGATTCACTGAATTGTTGAATGTCTAAACTTTATAGCTTTATATCAATATTTAAACTTGAGCAGAGGGTGCAGAAATTTAAACTCTGGCAAGGTTCATTCCATTATATTTTTATACAGTGTCAAATCTGAGCCATTACTGTGGATTAACCATAACAATTTTAGAGAAATGGAGATAGTAACACTCATTGATACACACATATGCAAAAAGGTGTGTATTCAAGAATGAATTAGTATTTTCAAGATTTCTTAATAAGTGTAGCTTAATTAGTTTAAAACAATGAATAAGTTATAAAAATACTTCATGAAACTTAAAAGTAAAAACACCAAATTATCATAGGAACTTAAATTCTTATGCTGTTTTTCCACATCTGAATTTAGTTAAAATACAATTCAAATAAGCAAAGCACTACCCAGCAAGTGATTCACACACTCTTATGACTGTTCATTAAATAACCCATCCACAAGCATGACTACTTCTTTTTCTAGAAGAAATATACATAAGATACTCAATGCTTCAGATGCAAAGGAAAGATTTATATTTCCAATCTGGTGGGTATTTTTTGTTCCATGTAAAAGTCCTATTCTCTGTCCTCCATGAGACAAATACCACTTTCAAGGAAAAGGTGGAAATGTTGAAAAGGTAAAGAAAAGAGGTCTGTAATTTGAATTATAAAAATATGGATGGTGCAATCATGTGCTCATACCTCTTCAGCACATCTTCAATGAATTAGCGATTTTTAAATCTTTTTAAATCACTGCATAAAACAAATTAAGGGAATTTATTTTATCAAAAGCAACTACTAATAATATGATAATAAAAGCCCTGATGTTATAGGCTCCATTATTCAAATGATCTACTTTTACCTTTTTACGTTCCTGCTCCCTCTGTTGGAGTCTACAGACTGAGTCAGTAGCTGCTTGCACTGAAATAAAACAGAAAATAGGTTTTCAATCAGCAGCCTTTGCTTAAGATGAGAATTATCTGAAAAAAAAAACAAAAAAACAAAAAAAAAACAACTCAGATTGTATTAGATCTCAAAAAACTACGTGAAAAAAACTGATAATATTTTGGTTTTGGTAGGGTGGCAAGAAGGGAAAAGAAAAGTTTTGCCAATATATTCAAGATGTCATAATTAGAACCACCATCATTCCTGGGCTTTGAACTTCAAGCCAAAGACATTTAAGTACTAACTCTAATGATGAGTTGTCGGCAATGACCTCAGAATTCTCTAAAATGACATTAAAACACCTGCAAAGTTTACCATTACATTTTGACTGATTATTCCTTTACAGTGCCTCTCCAATTCATTAGCCTCCACACCCCTCGCCTTTGTCTCATTCACACTACTGCTCTCTTGTAGGCAGTACTTGATATCTAGAATGCTTCAACCACTTTCTACTATTCTTGCCACTGCTCTCTTCTTGTCTTTTAATTCATCTTGTCTGCCACTGCCAGATTTGAATTTTTCTGGACTGTTTTCATTGAATCATTTCTCTTTATAATGGACCAAAACTGCTAGTAATAATTATTACAGTTATTTTATTGAATATTACTATGTCAAGACCTGTGCTAAGTACTTTCCACATATTGCTCCTCTTAATCTCACTTTCCTATTTAGAAGAGGATCACTATCCCGTTTTACAGAGTTTTGGCATCTGCAAAAATTGAGACCTAAAGAGGTGTGTGTCACTCAAGGAGGTAATATGACTAATACAGAAAGCAGGATATAAATCAGTCTCTGACTCTAAAGATCTGACTTATTCTCAACACTCTACTCTTATGATTTCATCAATGAAACTGGTTTTAATCAGTTATTTGAACTACTTCATTTACTGGATCCATTTTATTTCTGTAGATAAGTGTTTTCACTTACCTCACTGTTTAGTGTACAGGCTGAGTCAGAGTTAGTCAAATCTAGAGCTAAGCACTCATTAGTTGTATAAACTGATCTTGGGCATATTTGCTTGTTTGTTCGTTCGTTTATTCATTCATTCATTCAATAATTCGTCAAATATTTATTCAGCATTTGCTATGTGGCCTCAGTTTGTGGCCTGGCCTCTTGAGGTATCTCCCAGCCTGGCATGGGTGGCGGCCATGTGTAGATTGCTTGGTGGCTCATCATGCCAGGTGGTACCCTGCGAGCGGGGTGGGAGGACAGGCTTCAGCTAAACTTGGCCTACAGCAGGGCCAGGATGTCCCAGGGTTTGAGAGGCCTAGGGCTGGTACGCCTAGTGGCCAGATTTGGACTGAGCCAGAGCACCACTTGGGGCCACATCTGAGGGCGACACACCCAAAGGGCAGACTGGGCATGTGTACTAAGTCATTCATTTATTTCTCAAGCTGTGCACACTCTTCTGTAGGGTCAGCTCCTGCACAACAGCTCCTCCACTGTAGTAACTGGCCAGTCCTCACAACCAATCAGCCTGTGGGTCAATCCTTACCACTGACATGTCAATAGCAACCATGCCACAACTACAATAGGAGGGTACACACAACTCACACAAGGGATACTCCTGGAGCACCAAGCTCAGGTAACCAGAGACTGTGCCACTGGGTCCCACAGGACACCTCCTATATGATGCCATTCTACTAAGAACGAGAGATGTAGCAGACTCACCTAATACATAGAAACAAACACAGGGAGGCAGCCAAAATGGGGAGACGAAAACATGTCCCAAATGAAAGAAGAGAACAAAGCTCCAGAAAAAGAACTAAACAAAATGAAGACAAGCAATTTACTAGACGTAGAGTTCAAAACACTGGCTAAAAGGATGCTCAATGAACTTAAGGGGAGAGCAGATGAACTCAGTGAGAACTTTAACTAAATGATAGGAAATAAAAGTGGAGATAGAAAATATAAAAAAGAACCCGTCAGAAATAAAAAATATGGTAACTAAAATGAGGAATACATTACAGGGAATACATAGTAGATTACATGAAGCGGATGACTGAATCAGTGATTTAAAAGATAAGGTAGCAGAAAACACCCAACCAGAACAGCAATAAGAAAGAAGAATCCCTCCCAAAATGAGGATAGTTTAACAGGCTCCTGGGACAACATCAAGCATAACCAACATTTGTATCATAGGGGTACCAAAAGCAGAAATGAGAGAGCAAGGTATTAAAAACCTATTCAGAGAAGTAATAACAGAAAACTTCCCTAACCTGGGGAAGGAAATAGACATACAAGCCCAGGAAGTGCAGAGTCCCAAACAAAATGAACACAAAAAGGCCTACACAAAGACACATCATCATTAAAATGCCAAACGTTAAAGACAAATATTGAATTTTAAAAGCAGCAAGAGAAAAGCAATTAGTTACTTACAAAGGAGCTCCTGTAAGACTGTTAGCTGGTTTCTGAGGAGAAAATTTGCATGCCAGAGGGATTGGCAGGAAATATTCAGAGTGATAAAAAGCAAGGATTAGCAATCAAGGTTACTCTACTCAGCAAAGCTATCATTTAGAATCCAAGGACAGATAAAGAGCTTCCCAGACAAGAAAAAGCTAAAGGATTTTATCAACACTAAATCAGTATTACAAGAAACGTTAAAGGCACTTCTTTAAGAAGAAGAAGAAGAAAAAAAGGGCCAAAAATATGAATAATAAAATGGCAATAACTATATATATTATCAACAATTACTTTAGATGTAAATGGATTAAATGCTCCAATCAAAAGATAGGGTAGATGAATGGATAAGAAAATAATTTCCTTATATATGATGACTACAAGATACTCACTGCAGATTGAAAGACACACACAGAATGGGAACCGGGTAAATTAGCATAGATGTTAGAAGCTTCGCTCATCTCCTCTTGCAACCACATCAAAGTTGAGACAAAAACACGGAGCATACAGCAGAGTCGCCTGGGCGTCTAAATGAACAAAAGCACTACAACTAGAGAAAGAAATATGAAAGCACCCTGCAACAGTTGGAGGTAGGAAGAAGCAAAGATGAGAGGATGCCCGGTCCCCAGAGACTGAATGAGACAGAGGCTATGGAAGTTGTATTTGCCTCTTAAAAGGGGCCATGTCCGCAACTGGACTTTCAGGGTGATGGACCGGCTTGGTCTGGGCACCAGCACTGGGTTGGCTGCTCAGGGGTCTCTGGGGTCTTACGGGGGACACTGAGTTGTCAGAGAGAGGACTGGAGGCGAGGCTTTCTCCCAGGCAGAAGTGCTGGCAGTATCCATTGTTCCTCTGTTGAGCCCTCCCCAGTCCCAGTGTGCAGATGCAGCACCGCCATAGCTGAGACATCACCAAACTAGATAACAGAGGTCACTCTGCCCAGAGGATTCCCTGAAACCCCACCTCCCCCAAATCGTGGCCCTACCCAAGCCACATCCATTTGTATCCTTGGCTAGTCCTGTGCCACTTGCTGAGCAGCAACTAGACTCACATTGGAGGCAGCCTCGGTTTCTGGAGTGGTTTCTTGAGGCGACTATAAGCACAGCATCTGTGGGTTGCTTGCTCAGTCTTAACAGGTGGCCCCAGAGGGGCACAGGCTGGGCTAAACTTGGCCTGCAGCTGAACCCCTCTCAGGACTATTCTGCTGGACACCTACTACACAAAGTCGTGCTAATAAGACCGGGAGACTTAGGAGCTTTGATTAGTACATAGAAACGGACACACAAAGGCAGCCAAAATTGGAAGACAAAAAGCACAAACCACATGAAAGAATAGAACATAGATCAAAGAAAAATGGAGTTAAGCAATCTAATAGATGCAGAGTTCAAAACACTGGTTATAAAGATACTCAATGAAATTAAAGGAAGTGTAAATGAACTCAGTGAGAACTTTAACAAAGAGATGAAACATAAAAATGGAAATGGAAATCATAAAAGGGAACCAGTCAGAAATAAAGAACACATTATCTGAGATGAAGAGTATATCTGAGGAGTCAACAGAGTGAAGGAAGAAGAGGATCGAACCACCGATATAGAGGATGGGGAAGCCAAGGACACCCAACCAGAATGGCAAGAAAAAAGTAACCAAGAATATAGTAATTTAAGGAGCATATGGGTAACAACATCCATGTCATAGGGGTTCCTGAAGAGGGAGAACAAGAAGTTGAATATATATTTGAAGAAATAAGATGGAAAATTTCCTTAACCTGGTATAGCAAATAGACATACAACCCCCAAAAGCTCAGAGAGTCCTCCTCAAAATGAACCCAAAGAGGCCCACAGAAAGACACATCATAACTAAAATGCCAAAGCTTAAAGACAAAGAGAGAATCTTAAAAGCAGTAAGAGAAAAGCAATTAATTATCTACAAAGGAGCTCCCATAAGACTGGGAGCTAATTTCTCAAAAGAAACTTTGTAGGACAGAAGGGCTTGGCACAAAATATTCAAAGTGTTGAAAACTGAGGATCTACAACCAAGAATACTTTATCCAGCAACGTTATCACTTAGAGTTGAAGGACAGGTAAAGAGCTTACCAGACAAAAATATACTAAAAGAATTCATCAACACCAAGCCAGTATTACAGGAATTGTTGGAGAGACTTCTACTTCTTCTTTTTTCTTTTTTCAGGTGAGATAACCCTTGGTTGACCTCACAGATTGCAAGGACCTTGTTAGCTTACAATCCCTTATTTTTTATTTTTTATGCCTACAACACCTGGTCTGCCTAGGTGGTCTCCCATCCAAGTACTAACTAAGCCTAACCCTGCTTAGCTTCCGAGATCAGATGGGATCAGGCTTATTCAGGGTGACATGACCGTAGATGGGAGGGACTTCTTTAAGAAGAAAAAACATGTATCAAAATCATGAATAAAGAATAGTAATAATTACCTATTTAGCAACAAGTACCTCAAATGAAAAAGAGTTAAGTGCTCCAACCAAAAGATAGAGAAGCTGAATGGATAAGAAAATAAGATCCGTACATATGCTGCCTACAAGAGACTCACTTCAGATTAAAAG